TTGAAAGCATATTTAATTTTGCCATCTTGTATAGTATATCGCAATGCATCAATTTTACCACCATTGCATTTTCAGTAGAAAATATTGCCCAAGTATGATGTATCCGTCCCTTTAAAGAATATCAAAACTCATCAGAAAACATTGCCATATTAAAAGTTGTTTCTTCTCCCTAGGCTGATAAAAAGACATGAATGTTGGATTGGCATTGTCTAGAAACATGTATACTGTAGCTATGTCTGTTGTCATTACACTCAAAACAAATTCAAATTCATGCATGGGTATGTTATAACTGGTTTACTTTAATTATTTAGCACTTGAGTAATAGACAATTAATGAAGACACAATCACGTCACTGAGTGGCGGATATCAGGGAATCAGGGATGGACCAGCATGGTCTAGTAAGGAGAGGGGGGGGGGGTCTGTATTCTGGCAATTTGGCAAAACAGCCTCCATGCGGTGCAAGTGTACAACTGAGTTACTGAGTAGCTAGTTCACCTAGTTGTAGCCTTGTAGACACTGCAGCAAGGCACTGATTGCTAGTCTTGCTTCACTATTGTATTTGAATTATAATTGTTGTTCACAGTTCGCTTATCAACATGTTAGTATTCAAATTACTGTATTTCATTCATCATCCGCCCCCCCCCCCAGGAAATTCATCCCTGGCGGATATAGTAACTGTTGGCAATGATGCCTAGTTTCAGGGTGTTAGCCAGGCGGCCGCATATTTTCTTTAAATAGCAATTTACATGTTTTGTAATATTTCTTGAATACTTCGAATTGTTGTCATCTGCTGTTTACTTTACATATGGTGTATGTTTTTATATTTTCCCCAATCGAAAACATTTTGAATGTGGCTGAATTGAAGTATGGACAAACGCGCCATGTTTTTGTAACCATGTTGATGATTCTCACATTCTCACATGAAGTATCAAGGAGGATAATTTGAAACCGCTGTTTTAAAAAAAAGCAATCGCTTTATCACTCGAGCTCCACATGCTAGTTTAGAGTTATAGTTAAACACTGCTGTATTGTGTTTTTCATTATACATCGTAGTGATCATACTGTTCATACCATGTGTGTGCTTTTACTAATTTAATGACGGAAATGTGCATCTGAAAGTAAAAAGTTCAACAAATAGAACACCACAATAACAAAAAATTGCAGCCACGCTGCAATTATTATTATTATTATTACTATTACTATTACAATATTATTGACTTATTAGATCACAATATCTTAATTTGTGAATTAAAACAATTGGATATTCCATTTGTGCTATTGGGTTGGATATCTGCCTTTTTCACAGACCAAACACAAGCAGTCAGAGTTGATTTATCTGAACGGAAACAACTTAGTCTTAGAGGGAGAATTCCATAAGGAACCAAGTCAGGAGTTATTTTTTACTTTTGACTATTTTTAGCTATTATAAATGTTAATGTTGGTCTATCATAGTATTATGTAAATGACTCGTACAGTAACTGCAAAGACTTTATTAATTAAACCTTCTTATATCTTATCTTATATTGAATACAATTGTTGCATTATCTATCTTGTCTGTTGCAATGGAACAATTTTAGCACCATTGCATTTTCACCAGAATATATTGCCCATGTATCCGTCGCTTTAAGGATCATCAAAACTTATCAGAAAACATTGCCATGTTAAAAGTTGTTTTTCTCCCTAGGCTGATAAAAAGACATGAATGTTAGATTCATTTGGCATTTTCTAGAAACAGTGTATAGCTACATGTACGTCTGTGTCATTGCACTTAATACGAATTGAAATTCATGCATGTGTACGTTATAACTGGCTTCCTTTAATTATTTAGCACTAGTGTAATAGATAATTCAACCCCAGCAGTTAATAGATAACTCAACACCCCCCCAGCTAGGTATCCAACACTGCCTCCCACCCACTACAATACAATACCTGTATAGTTATAGTGAAAGCTTGCACGTGTTGATCTTGTTGTAATTTTGAAAATCAGTAGAAGCAACCAGAGCCTGAACTTACTGTCACGCACTGAACATTTTACGACGAAATTGCAATTTTCCGACCAAATACTATAAATTGGTTGGACATTTTGGCTGATAATAACAATCAGTTTTCTTGCAAGAATGCTTTAACTATAAGCTGCGTCCAACCTCCTATTGTTAAATTTCTTAGCGTTTTTACTTCGCTGTATGAAGTATTATTTATCGATGTGATTGACGAAGTGGAGGCCTGGAAACCAAGGTTACATTTACACTGTACCAGATAGCTTTCCATAGCGACGTGAAAAAAACACCTACTGTATCTGTAGCATTTAGGAACGCTATTTTCAGATGAAATATTGCAATGGAGAGATGTTGTTTCACACTTTCACTCTGCTTCTGAAAGTTGTAAATTCCATATCACATAGGTTCCTTTTCGCGCCAGTACGCAAAGCTATCAGGTAAAGTGTATATAGTAGCGTAAACGAAACGGGAAACTGTCCCACCATATTGGAAAGTTTCCAATCAAATTTCGTTTTGGTTGGACTTTTTCCCTACAACTTTTGGGCGTTAATTCAGGTTCTTTGCAATCTTGTTGAATTTTTATTTTCTTTCAGGGATTGTTGTTTTTATCCACATTGCAAACGAAAAATTGGACTTCATTCGCATAACTGTATGTTTGAGAAGATTGAAGCTTGTTGTAAAGACTTGGGAGGAACAATACGAACTAAGGTTTGAACAAAGTTGAGGTAAAAGATTTTTGCTTCTCTACTGATGTTCACATGGCAATGTTATAAAAATCTCGTGTCTGTTTGTTGACAAGCTGCAGCTTCTTCAGCAACTTGTTCACGCTTTCTTTCTTGTTCGTCTTAATCTTTAATTGTGCCGTGCAATCTTGTTCGTCGCTGTTTTTTCTATAATTGTGTTTATCCTACAAGTCAGGCCTGGCGTTGACCAAGTTTCATTGGTTCAAAGACAAACATGGCTTTGTCTTGTCCTGTCTTGTACTTGTTTTCTGGTAATTTAACTTATGTTTAAGTTTTTGATTCAGTATATTTTGTTCCTTTGTTTGTTTTCATGTGTACAACTTATAATTGGATTATGTAATGTAATCACGTCATTGCCAGGATATATATAACATTGCTGATTTTAACTGCCCCCAAAAAAGTGGGTAGTAGTTTAGTGCAGTCACGTCAATGCAGCAATAATCGTTAATGCCGCAACACAGATAGCATTGCTGATCTTAACTGTCCTATCATGTTGGCTAGTGCAGTCACGTTAATGCAGCGTGCGGAAAGTGATTCCTGTAACTTAACATCAGTTGGCATTTCGTTTAATGTGGCCGATTAAGTCCAACGTCAGAGTGAAAAACATGTTTATTTCAATATTTTATGAGAAGGAATGAAAATAAGAAGAAAAGTCCCCTTCCACCTTGTTCAAAGTTGCTAGTTGTTCGAATAACTATTCTGCAGGATCGTCAACCCGCATTTATGCAAATACAACACTTATGAAGTGTAAATTTTGCTCTAAATCTGTGATAATTTGTACACCAAAATTATTTTATATACCTGTACGTGATCCTTCGTGATACAATGAACAATTGTTCCTGACGATTTTAGCACAAGGAAAATACAAAAAATTAAGTGTGCTATTAAATATTAAGTGAATAATCAAATTCCGAGAATTTAGCAATTACAATATGCTAGTGTAACGTGCCCATTTATGCATGGCAGATTGTTTTATTTAATTTAAGGTGGTTATACCCCTTCTTTAACACATTTTACAAATTTCTTTCAAAATTTTGGTTTAGTTTGTTTTATATATTTTAAATATTGTACCTTCAGAATTTATAGTTACTTGCTTGTTTTTTTAAATGCGAAAAATACTTTTAAAGTGGTCATGATCCAAAATTTTCTCCCTAGCAGCAACTTAGCAACGCGTTTTTATCCCAAATTGACATAAATTATTTGAAAAACCGCGTCTTTTGTACTTTCTACTTTTGGTGTATGTTTTTAAGGTCCTTTTGATTAGCTGGAATTTGATTGGTCCATTTTGCATGTACATGGCCACACATTTTTCACATCAACTTGACAACTTCTCCGTTGCTCTGGCTGTAAACATAGCGTCGAAAGTCTTTATTATTTCTGAATATTTAGTCGAAAATTACTTTGTTGAATTTTTGCATCCTTTTGTTATTTTAAAAATATGGGAAATAATTCACAAAAGAAAATAATTATAGTAAATACAGCACATTTGCTTGTGAAAGCTTTATGAATCAAAGCTTTTTGAGATTCATGCCCTAAATTAAAAAAAAATTGCTCAGATTTGAAACCCCACCCCCTATAAAAAATTAGAATACAGTGATGTCAATATTGCATCTTGTGTCGTTCGTACTTAGATATTATCGTGAGATTTATTAGCACGTGTACTTACATAAAAAATTGAATCCAAAAGATGTCGTCCTTTAGGAGATCGTCCAGTTCTTCATATTCTGTTCTATTGATAGGGGGGTGGATCTTGTTAACACAATTGAGGGAATGGAGAACTGCGTTTTTAAGACTGTTCGCTGTGGTCGATTTGATTGCGTTGCTCCGCCCTTTCATGTAAAAAATATTTATCACTACATTTATGCAATTTCATGTAAATACAAGCTTGCATGAAAACATATTAATTATTGAGTTAAGAATGGCGTAAAAATATCGCAGGTATGAATGAAATCGAAAACACAAAGCAAGTACCCTATGAAATTTTAATACCTAAATGTTTGTATAACACTTACACAAGTCCCAAACATAGCCAAGAGTCCAAGACAACGATTAAAGACCATTAAATTTATTAAAAAACATCTGTTTATTCATGCTTTTCACACTTTGCGCTGTTTAGGCTTCCACGTAGCTGCTGTGTGTGCCGGTGCGTTAAGGATGGGACGAAATTCCTTGTACATGTCAGGGTTTTCTGTTAGGCCTTGACGAAGTTCCCACGGGCGAAATGGATAACAGAACAGCTCTTCGGGCAGATTAAACATACCTCTTTTTTCGCGTTTGGAACTCCTAGCGTTCCACAAGTGATTTTATCCGTGACCTTCTCTTTTTTGCCTGCGGTATATGTTGTTCATTTTTTAACATACAACATACAGACCTATGCCTGCTAAAGGCACTTTGTTTGCATCTAATGTGAACCGGCCTTATTTTCTTCACTTCAGAACATGGATGATCACGTTGCAGGAATACTGCGAAAAACGATAGACAAATAGAACTTCCTTCAAGAGAATAACGAATGAATAATAAAATTAAATGATGACAATACAAATACATACCTCTACGCTTGTTGAACAATATAAGTCTTGTCAACGTAACTGTCACAAGCTGCCTCCAATTTTCTTTCACACGATCAGATTCGACTTTGGGCGTAAGGTCTTTAATCTCCTTCACAAAATACTCGCAGAGGTTTAGAAGGTCGCTCGTTAGTGGCAAGAATTCTGGTGCATTGTTCTTCTTGAAAGCAAGATTCCGCAATGCTGGATTAGTTACCTTGTTTCCCCATTCTTCTTCATACAACTGGATGAAACAGCTAAGTCTCGGTGGCTGAGATATTGAGCGTCACATTTGATGATACGGCAGTCACAATAGGCATACGGACGGACGAAGCAATCTTATGGTTACGTGCACTAGATGCGAAGATTTTTTAGGCGTGGACGGTGTATCCATAGCAACAGCGATACCGGACGTAACTTGTTCATCATACGAACTTTCGTCTGTGTATTCAACAAGGCTGTAGTTTGCCATGCCGCAGGTTGTTGATAAACATCCAATGTCGAAAGGTTGGGTTACATCAAGTTTCTTTTTACTGCGTTTGTGTTTGCTTTCGTTAACTAAAATATTGAGGTCGTTTTCATGCAAAAGTCCAATTACCGTCGATTTCAGCCGTCAAAATCCGCTCAATACCGTTGAAGTCCATTCAAAAGCTCTGTTACATTGAAACTAACTAAAAAGTTACGTTTAAAATCAATCACCACAACCCATTCTCTCTTGCTGATTACCAAGTGATCAATACTTTGCACTCGCATGTCAGAACAATCCAGCAATTTAAAAATGGTGCTCTCCCGACAGATTGGGGTGCTCCCATGCACGAAAAGTAAAACGCAAAACATAACAAAAAGCATTTCGCAGACCTGTTTTCTGTAGACTGTTTAAATGTTGACTGTAATATCTCCTCCTTTCATGTACGTGAATAATTATTAGTTTAAACTACGAACGTTAATGGAGCGGTAATTTTCCTGTAGTCACATGAATAATCTGAAAGCTATGCATAAAGTATGAGAACCGCCAAGTGTGTTAAAAACAATGTGCATCTCATTACACAGCGCCCCGTGATGCTCAAACAAATAATTGACATGATGGGATAGTGTGCTCATGTCAAAATCATTTTCCCAAAGCTCGCCTAGTATCGGCTCCATTGCAACAGGTAATTGAACAAACAGTGTAAAACGTTTCAAATATATATTCATAAAACCTTATGATAATACAAAGTTTTTAATTATACGTTAAATGTTTATAAATGTTTCAGTTCTGCTGAACATCTGGATAATAGCTATTGTAAAACGGCGGTACGAAAGGCGCCATAGCACCAGGCTGTTTTTGGCCATTCTCTTGCAAATAATCCACCTACATAAAATAATAAATTTACACACAATTTCATCTCGAATCGCTGATATTCTTTCAAAGATTTGGTGGCTCTTAATAGATCCGTTTGTTTTTGCTCGATCCCTCACTGAAGATTTAGCACCCACAAAATCTCCTCCAGCATGATCGTATCCTCCAGATACGCTTCAGGGTGTTCGCGGTACCTTCTCGTCATCTCGTAAAAAAACGACAGCTGTAAAAAAACTGTCCAACATAACACTGTAAAATTCCCACAAACTCGCGAGCTCTCTGTTCCTTTCGTCCTCCTGATCCCTGCGTCTTGCTCTGTACCGCCTGTGTCTTTCATTTACAGAGACTGTATCAAATTGAATAAAATTGACAAGCTAAGAACAGCGCGACCGCTCATTATGAGACGTGCGAGTAATCGTCGGTGTGTGAGTAATCGGACGTGTGAGTAATCGGACGTGTGAGTAACCTATTTCTTCCATTTCCATTCTGTTTTCATTTATTTCCGTAGTATTAATGCGCATGTGTCGACGCGATACATACATAATAACCGTCACTGTGAATAAAATGACAACCATAAAAATTACTGCTGTGAATAGTCCAATCTGTACTTTGTCTGTTTTCGTTTTAAGCCGATCATCTTCTGGGATACCAGGCGTTTTACGAGAGACTTCTTTGGATGACGAAAACGTAGTGGGGTGTGAAAAGGGACTCATCACTGAGGTAGTGAAAGTGGGAGGGGGAAATGCTGCATGGTATCTGAGGTTCTGGTTGATATTTATATGTATTTTATCAGTATGATATTTTGTTTCATTGCTTGACCAGTGGAAGAGGAAAGATTAGTTTGGTTTGAAATTTGGACAGTGTACCCACATCTCAATTTTTGAACAAATCGTTGACAATTCTTTCATTTTCATAGCTTAAAATGAAATCATAAGGAAGGTTAAAATAAATGCTTACTGTATTTGTTATCCCTGTCTCTTAAAGTAAAGCATTTCCTCGGCGCTTTCACATTTCCAAACTGGATTCAAAGTTATCTATATAGCTAGAAGCGAGCTGCATTTGTCCTAAAAGCAGCGAAAGTCGTTTCTTCAAGTACAATTTCAAGTAATACGCAAGCATTTCATCGCTATCAATTGTTGAAGGAGCCGCTCCATACTTACCTGCAGTCTTGTAGTCAGTGTGAAACACAATGATTGAACGTTCAAGGCGAAATTAATAACGTTTTTCCGTATACAGATTATTTATTCAACTCACCCTGCCGTCCCTCGTCATGTAATTAGTCTAATGGTCACGAATAAAGAAATAATAAAGAAATCATGCAGGTATCGAACCTGTTGAGGACCTGAACTCTAGGCTAATTAAATATTTATGAACGACGAACAATGAAACGAATAAGCTCTTAAATGTTACCTCTGTGATTGCACGTAGTGTGTGCTGAACACCTCTCGCACGAAAGCTGCTAAATTTGTTTCATGTTGACTGGACGCCATATTCACTAATTTGCATACATACGCGCAATACGGCGAACGAATCGGAATATGTCGGAAAATCTTTGAAAATCTCGCTGTGACATACTTTCTTTATATTTTTCAAACAAGAGTCTGTTCTCTTGCTCCAGTTGACTTTGTAAGCGCCGTAGAAATATTATCTCTGGCAAACCGCTGTGATCGACGCTATTTCTACCATAATTAAATTTTACAATGTTGATAAGAACACTTATTATTCTACTTAATGTGGAAGGTTTTAACTTAAGATTGTCTTTTAAGAACGTGATATACTTTTGAACTAATCCTGTGTCGTTACACAAGGGAAGTGTCAGCATGGTCCTCCCTTCCGAGCAGGGTTCAATTGTTTGGTGTAGAAATTGATGAGTGTTCGCAGTAGATGCTTGTAAGTGTTTTACTTTGGCGAAGAAGTATTAACTTTTAGCACTGCGTAGATATATGATAAGTTTGCAAACCTTTGTTAGTTTCTAGCATAGGTAAAACAATTTGAAGTTCAGGTAACACATTTGTTGAAGCCTCTATTTCTGTGTCTCCAGCGGTGTGCTCCTGTGGCTGAATAGGATCTATATAAGCGGCTCCTTAGCCGTAAGAATTAATAGTCGTGCGAGAAAGTGCTTCTCAAATTCCGACTCAATTTCACAACCAAAACTTTCCCCAGTTAATAATTTAATGGATGAAATAAAATGTAAAGATGAGAATGTTGTTTTACCGAAGGAAAGCAGACTACAGCTATCCTCGACAGGTGATTTCGCTTCCTTAAAGCTGTTTATATGCAACACTATAAAACTGCATCTCAGCAGTTCCCAGTCATATTTCCTGCACCATCATATCCTTGCCCACGACAGTCCTCCATACGTTGCATGGCCAATGCCCTTGATGAAGTTGGAGATTTCTTCAGATAGAGCTTCTCCAGTCAAATCTTTTTGGCGTGGATTAAATTTTAAAAATAACTCCCGTATCTTCATTAGATTGTCAACAAATCTCAAATTATCACATTTGTTTTACATTAGGGCATCCATAGGCCCGTCAGTCAGCACAGAGAAAAACTTCGCATCTTTTACCCCGCTAACAAGCACTTCATACGACGACGATACGATTAATCTAGCAAGGGACTCCCTAATCTTAAGGCCCTCGGAATCTTCTAAGGTCTTAAAGTATGTTACTATGGAATGTCGTAATACGTTTGTGGAGACACGGATACTTACTTCTTGGCCGAATAAATCTCCCACGTACTTGCATAAACTTGAACTATCCCTGAATGGATCTTCGGTGTAGTTGGGAAAAAAGTAGGCATGCGAGACTGGACCTTAGCTAAATTGTATTGATGCAAATAATAGACTAATTCTCGGTCTTCTGATAGGTCCATATTATGTGGGCCGGTAGAATGAACAGCCTTGAAGTCGTTTTCGATCAAAACACAGTCGTGTCTTCCCTAAACACAATAACGTTTGTGCGGAGAAACGAAATTACGTCAAATGGATTCTCCCCTGACTCAACGAAGTCTTGTAATGTGCATATTTCCTTAGACCTTCCCGGATTAACCGTCGTGTATGTTGCCAGCATAACGAAATCATGAAGATGTCTGGCCTTTGCTACGCCCGTTGTTTCGAAAATCTTAGCTCTTAGATTTCTAAGCGTGACTAAAATATGGTTAAAATAGAATCTCTGTGACGCCTTTTTTATGCACAATCCTTCCTCATTCGAGGTCTGCCTTTGATAAGATCTACACGACATAAACGCCTTGTAACTATCTAATGCGCTCCAATCTTCGCGAAAGTAATATTTGATGACATTAATAATGCAAGTAAGATGTACTGTAATTGTGTTCGGCATTAGTTTTCTAACTTTTGATAGATAATCAGCATATTCACAAATTTGGGTGTTCGTGTTAATAATATCGAGAGTCACAACTGGTACATTCCTAATGATGCATGCAGAAATATAAAAAACAATATATTCTTTCGACTAATTTGTCCAGAGTTTGTTTGGCAAACGGGGCGACCATTCCGTTTTGGGTTTAATTAAATTGTGTAAAACTTACATAGTTCTGTTACTTCACTGTTTACGATTTCGCCAGCCTCTTCTTTGATTAATTTGTGGGGAGCCCTGCATCTTTTCCCTGATTGTGGCGTGGAGTCATGGCCGCCGTCTTTGCTCGTACCACGACTGGAAGGCGGCGTTGGAAATTCTGTTGTAAATGAGCTGATAGCAACAACTTTAGACGTCTGCTTTGGTGAGGTTGGGGTCGCAGTTTCGACAATCGCCGTATTTTGCGGCGACGAGGAAGCAGCAGTGTTGGACGTATTCAGCGTTGGACGTGATAACGTAGCTTTCGGTATTGCAATAGCTCCATCGTCATCTTCTGAACTTTCCCCATCGCTGTAAGCAACTAGTTTGGGTGGGTCACTTGCAAACTTTGGGGGCAACTTGGACAGTCGATATGGCGGGCGACTTTTGCACGTGGTTTTTCCACTTTCTCGTTCATCAGACGTTTCAAGTCATGCTCTCGAATAAGACCAAACACTGAACTTTTCACTTGAGGATTTGCCTCTTTAAAAACACGCCTTTCGTCAGGGGTCGTGTGTGGAGTTTCGATTTTAGAGTTGATTAACCACAGCCTAACTCTGCTTCTCGAAACAGTGGTGGAAGATTGGAACATGGCCATTTAGGAACACCGCCATCTGATTCGCCACTCCATGGAATTTTCGGATTGTTTGTGTATGCGCACGGAGTATTCGGTCTCAAGACTGTCCGAGTTCAACATAATAAATAATAATAAACAACTTTATTTGAACTTTATTCTATCAAATTACATATTATATTACTATGCTAAAATTGTGTTATATATACATTCACTATTCACTAACCAAAAATTGGGTTGATATACTGCAGTTAGCATAGAATAAAATAGAGTAAAATGTACTGGTGAGTAAATTTTACATATTTACACTACACCAAATTTTACATATTTACACCATATTTACACTATACGAAGTCTGATGGTATTACTATTACTTTCCCATCTCTCTTCCACTAATGCACCAGTCAATGTAAACCCCGCCCCCCCCAACCCCGGGCATTAGGCGGGGATTAGATATTTTCGTTTTTAATCAGAGCTAATGCCCCGCCATGCGGAGCCAGTTAAAATGGACAAATGCCCCGGTTAGTGGGGCTTCAGAACCATATTAAGCTGGTGCCTGGGGTGAGAAATTAGGCTGATATTTTATTTATATGTGTGGTCATCGTTCAGGTTTTTTTATTCTTTAATATCAATAGACCTTAGAGGTGCGTATGTCACACCATTGTCAATAAAATGAATTGCAATGCAATCTGGGAACCATATAAGAAAACAAATTACCTAGTATTTATATGCATTGAAAACCGTGTGACGTAAGCACTTCTAAGGAGGGTAACTTCGTACATAAAACACAAGCATCATACACTTATGATTGCCACTAAAACCTTATTATTTATTTATGTAACAATGTGGAAAGAAAAAAGAGCATGTCAAGCATAACACAAATTGTTTGTTCGTTGTTTGTTACAGTAAATTTCTTTCCTTTCACTTCTTCCGGCTTGTCCTTTGGTTTCTTCCTGTACATGCTGTGGAAAAACAACAGACCAACATATTATAAACAATAAAGTAGGATGCTCTGAAGAGAGGGAAATTTGATGGAATGTGTAACAGTTTCAACATCATACCTTTGCATTCGTCACACAACCAATTGGGTGGAACAACTGTTAAACCAATACATGGGAGGTGGAAAGACACTTTTGTGCATTCTGCCCCATAGCATCTTGCCATAATCCCATACTCGGGTTGAGAGCAATAGCAGGTCTGTTCTGCCTCGGGTTCTAATATTCAAATAATGTTGAGTTTACAATGTATTGATGTGCCATTCACTTACAAGCTATGTAAAAATCTCCTTATGATTCTTGTCACAATGGAATGTGATTTACAGTACATACTTTAGATGCAAAAATTCTCCATGATAACACATCAACTGCCAGAACTGTCTAGTACCTATATGAATTTGGTAACTGATTTGCTCACAACATGTGCTGCAAGTTTCAGTTACCAAATGCTATGAAGCAAATTTACCTTTCTCACGCTGGGTTTATCCGCCATTCTTTGGGTACTGCATCTCTCAATCTGAGATATAAAGCACACCGCAATACGAAATTCCCGAAATTACTTTATGTGCAGTGTATAACGGTAGATTTTCAATTACAAATTTAAAAAGTCCCCTATCCCATTGTTTTAACTGTTCAAGTTCTTTGACGAGGGTTGACAGTGCCCCCAAAATGACGTATTTTGGCCTTCGTGAGACAGGCTAATTACAAATGATAATGTTATTAATGTAAAAAACGGCAAACCTTGACAATCAGGACAGTACCACTGGCACGGAGGAGCTCTTTTAATCCCTACACACTCGAAGTGGAACCATTGAAAATTGCAATTACTGCCATCACATCCAATCATCTTTCCTTCTTCAGGTCCTTCACACCAGCAATATTTATCCACAGCTGATGATTCTTGGTTGGCAGCTATTTAATTAAGTAAAACAGTATTGGATTGTTACTCGTACTAAAATAAAAATACATGCTACCGAAAGAGTGAACATACGGTATTTGACTTACCCTTCTTCTTCTTTCGTCGAGTTTCTGCGGCCTTTCGAGCCCCTTCCTTTCTTCTTTCTTGTACCATTTTGAGGTGGTCTATCCACATTCTAACTTCTTTTACGTCGAGCATCGTCTTCATTGCCAAACAGGTGATCACTTCATCACTAATTGTAGCTTCGCCAGCTTTCGTGATGCGATTGAATTCCTCTTTGAGGACTACGGATGGAGGAAGGCTATCACAGACTGAGACACCTTTTTCTGAAATGAGTCTTACTGTGTCTTGTGGCTTAAGATAATGCCCCGAACATATTCCATTGCATTCTTGGCACTGTCCTCTCCAAGGTCTCTCCGGATCTTTAACTGGAAGAGGGAACATTGAAACAGGCGGTCCCGTTTCAAACCATGTGTGTTGGATTTCACGCCCACCTTGCTGGCACAGCGGATGAATGCATTTTATGTTATTACATGTTACAAGCATAAATGCATACTGACTTGGAAGTCCTTTCACCATATGACGTTCTCTCACAGCCCAAATACTTTCAAAGTATTCATAAACGCCAGGTTTAGATTTCCTTAACTCTGCTTGGTTTTTCTTTGTCCCATTAAGAAAACACAGAAGATCTGGACGTCGTTTATGCAGGGATGCATCTTCATCAGGCTTTACACCTTTCACCAAAGAAATATTGCTATCGCCACATGGTGCACCATTCACACGGTCTATATACACATCTGTAGCCAAATCTAGGTTTTTCTCCAGTTGTGAAGAGTCTAGTCCTTGAGAAGTGAAGTTTGAACCATTTAATGTTGATGGAATATAAAGGTTACTGTGAGCAATTGCCAGGCAGCTATTCATTAGCTCTACTTTGTTTAGATACGATCCACCACTTTGTCTTGTGGTCACTAAAGTGCACACTTTCTTTCGCTGTATATGAAGTTCAGTCCATAGAAACTGGACCTCCACATGCGAAGGGCCTTCATCGGATGCCCCATCTACTCGGATACAGTCTATTGGCTTGTTCGAAACCCAAGGTTTCATTTCTTCACGTTTCTCTAGCATTTTGAAATCTTCTGCATGTTGAGAAGGATTTTTCGGAAATATTGCTTGAGCTTTGACAACACCAACACACTTTTCACTGGTTGTATTTGTTTTCAGGAACATATATGACGTGGTTTGAAGTATACTTGAATATTTGTTAACGTAATCAGTACGGCAGGTTAACTCTTGCTCTCCTTCCAATGAAATAGATTTATGTCCCCGGTGTGTGTAGGTTGTATCTAGTCTGTATCCAGCTTGATCATCACGATTAAGAATTAATTTGTCATTGCCATTCTGGGGTTGAATATAGTCTAAATTTCTGTACAAGGCGGAACAATAATGGGAATCTGGATTGACTTTCACTGTAAAACCTTTTCGAGCTCGTCTACAAGTCACTTTAGCTACTCCGCGGTAGCGCTTGGCAGATATCCGTCTCTTGTTACGAACCACACAAAGCTGCACTACTGTTCCATAGCTTATCCGTGTATGGTATTTTTTCTTCTAAGTACTTCTGTATACGCTTGTAAGTGACTTTCTGACCTCTCTTTAGGTTTCCAGAGAAGGTAAGGACACCAGTTCTTCTACTCTCTTCTCTTTGACATATTCCTCTATGTCTTTTCCTATATTTGGAAACCGTTTTAAAATATTCGAAACTTTTTTTGGAATTTTTCTCTTCAACATAGACGAAAGTGACGTTTCTTTAGCAATTCGTCTTGCAACTTTTCGTTTCTGGATCTTCCGCTGTTTCTTTATCAACGATTGACCCTCAACTGACAAAACATGAGAAACCTTAGCCCATTCCTCGGGATTGTCACTTTCTGAATCGGTATGCACCGCAAAGTCATCTGTTCCACCAACAATTTTCTCTTTTTCAAGCTCAAGAAAAGCTTGCCTGGAATGCTCAGCTTGCCTTTTGTCTTCGACACTAAGGTTACTGTTGGAAAGATAGGAGACAAAGCCCAAATAGGCCTGACGTAATTCTTCCTCTGTTGAATTACGAAAACGAAGCTTAACTTCCTCTACAAGGGCAAACCAATTCATGTTATTCTCACGCAGAATGTTCAACAATTGTTCATGTGAGGGAGAAGGGTTCACAGTAAGGTGATCATTCTTTGGAATCTCATCTGTAAGGTTATTTTCTGTACTTTCTTTGGAACTAAGTTTGCTACTTGCTTCTTCGTCTGTGGAGGCTTCATCACTGAGCCAATTCAACTCGACAAGTTCCTCGGTATCTGAACCTGACGCACTATCACACGATTCCTCACTGTCTTGCACAGCTATTCCAAAAGATTGCAAGATGGCTTTTTCTTCTATTGATGCTAATGACATAATTTCGTCTCTAATCAGCTGAGCCTGGTGTAGAGAAGCTTCAACTCTTTCTGTTAGATTCTTTAAATTTGAAACACCGTATAAATGTTTCGATTGTTTGCTACCCAAACTATGTGAACGGCAAACCGCATACTTGATCAAAGATCTGTCTTTTTCTGTACTTGCCAGTTGGCACAAACCCTGCAGTAATTCTTTGCTTAGATCATTAACCTGTCTCTTACTTGAAACAACAAATTTATTAACTAAGACTGGGAAAATAGAGTATTCCACACCCTTCATTTTCTCTGTTACGTAAAGTTTTTGAGAACCAGGACCATTAAGACATAATCTTATTACCACCACTGGCAACTGCATAATCCGCCTGACTGCTTTATCGCTTTTGTATGGTGTTAGTTTAAAATGACTTGAACACAAAGACTTTAGATCAACAACAACGCATGTAACAATTTCTTCAGCAGCAAGTATTAGCTTTTTGCACTCAGTGCAGAGTTTTTCGTGTTTTTTTTCACAATAAAATTTTCTAACTGCAATAAAGTCCTGCAGCGTCATTTCTTCAACCAACGACACATAAATGCCATCTGCCACTTTACACTTGGTCAAGTCGCTTAAACAAGAACTTTTCAAATTAACATAACGATTATATATAGAGCTGTCATTCAATTTACCCTCCAATGTTTTTGTATTATTATGCTTTGATTCAGTATTCTCTGGAGATGCAAACTGTTTCAAAGCATTGGTTGATCTAAAAAAGAGATCTCCATATTATCTCCCATCGTTGACGTCGCGGCTGCTTCTGCTTCTATTGCGTCATCTTCTTGGACCGTTGTTCCACCATTTTCGACATTTCCTGCAGAAATTACACCATCTCTAAGTATATCTCTCATTGTCGACCCTGTGGTTGCTTCTTCTTGTCTTGTGTTTTCGTCTAGGGTTGTTGTTTGATCAGTTACGAAATTTCCATCAGAAATGGAGGTGTGACTATCTTCCACTGTCGTCACTGTGCATGCTTCTGCTTCTTTTGTTTTATCTTTCTGTTGTTTTATTTGGTCATTCTCTAAATCTACTTCAGAAATGGAATCATCACTATTTTCCACTGTGCTTGGTTTTGCTTTTTTTGTCTTATCTTTTTGTGCAGCTGTGAAGAACACGGATATGCTATTCTTGTTACCCCTTGTTACAAAATTATTCGCAGACGATTTTACAGTTGCGGTAGTTGAGCAAGTCTCGCTAGAACGACACACTTTCTTGCCACTGTGGTACTTTTGAGATCTAGCTTCTTTACGCTGAAGCATTGTAAGCTCTGTTTGGAGCTTTCTCTTCCTCTGCTGCAAACCTTCTATCTTCTCAGAGATGGCAATAGCTGAATTAAACTCTTGACTATTGCTGTATCTATCCCGTTATTTTGTACACAGCTGTACTTGCTTATCAACCTCTGTCAAATCTTCACTTACTTCTTTTATTCTACTTGCACGAAAATCGCTCTGAATCTTGGCTCGCTTTGGTGTGTCTACGTCAGGATTTAATTGTTTTGATCTCGACTTCTTTTTGCGGTAACTGTATCCATCAATATCGAGTTTTGCTACTGCAAGTTTATTTAACTCTGTTTTGTTCCCTACAATCATCGGGTTTTCTAATGCTATTTGATAGGCAGCTTCATTTATTGCTTTATGATAATTATATAACTTCTCATTTGTGTCTATGAGTGAGTAGATTTTTGCCTGGTCTTTTAGCATACCAATGTCCACTGGCAAAGTCACATTTGTTGGTGTTTTGCAAGAAAGCTATAAGCAAATGGACACGATATTTATTAATAATTATTATCAATATCTATTAACCCATCAAGCTGCAATTTGCTCATTTATAGTTGTGACACAATAAATAACAACATGCACTGTAATTCCCCGAACTTCAGTTCAGGTTATCCTTATACTGTGTGGTGAAACAATAGCATTAGCATTTTGTCAGTGTTATTATATTAAACTATCCAAATATAGGACCAAACCTACACTGTAGCAGAAAGTATATTTATCAAGTACTTGAAATAAACTGTTTAGTTTCGTTTCATTTGGAATCATCAGTCACTTAAAAATTTAAACTTGTTGTCAATTGATGATGTAATGTCAAAACAATTTCTGACTTTTATCAAGTAAACTTATTTAACTTCAATAAATTGCCAAGAAGATTAGCCTACAGTAGCTTGTACCAAAGACCTTGCAAATGTAGGAATTAATTAAACACCCAGTGCCAATTTGGGATGAAAAAATAATTGCACACAACAGCACACCTACAGTACAGTAACATTCAGAAGGAGTGCAATTCATTGCAACCCTGCCCTTTTATTCCTGCGATTGCCTGTACTTTATTATTTAATACCAGTATATAAAATTATGTAACAAGCCAAGAAGGTACTATTACTGTACCAGTACTTAAAATGCTATTACATAGTTTGTCCATCACATGTAAGATTATCATAAATAATTCATGGTATGATGATCACTTGAGGTTTTCACAGAAAAATCAATATTACACCCTATTTTATAAATAGAGGATAATACATGGGTGCACGGAAATACCAGATTTATTTCGAGTGTTGATCGAACATGATATTTCAAGAGTGAGTGAAGCAAACGAGTGAGGTATCATGTTCAACACAAGAAATAAATCTGGTATTTCCAAGCATCCATATATTTTTGTGTTTATTATATAAAGGGACAGTCTTTGAAAAGCGATAATTTTTACAGAAAAGCGATAATTGGAAAGCGATAATTTTCATGTGGGAAATTATCAGTTTTATCAGTGCTCGAAATCTCTTTCAAAAACTCATTAATAATTCATGAAGCAATTATCCAATCTTGAGTAAGAAATTAGTCACGTGCATATATACGTCTTTATACCAGCTAAAGAACACTTTAACAAAAGACCATTGTTATGCAAACTGTATAAAGATTTTTATATAAAGATTTTTATATATTAAATATTTGACTATAATGCAGACGTTTTTGAAGCCATTTAAAAAACTCGCAGGTCGTGTTTTATTAGGTCTAAAGCCACTTGCGCTGCGCGTTCGTGGCTTTAAACCTAATAAAACACTCCTGCCTGTTTTTTAAATAGTATACATAAAGCACTATGTACTTTATATAAAATAAAATAAAATGAAATAAAATATAGTAAATCTAATTTTCAAATTAATACTCACAGACAAGGGTGGCCCAAGTGCTCCAGTACTAGTGATTGTCTTTTGTCTGGATTTCACATTAAGATTGGACACAGTTTCTTTTCGTACATCACTTGCTGCAATCTTCACTGACTGATCTTTTGTTACTGGAACAAAAATATTAAACAGTATAATATTAAAATATGCATGACATTATTGTGCAGTAAAGTTTTACTTTCATACCAAATACATGTATGCACCAAGGGTACATTTTCAACATTTTTTGAGAAAGAGGGGCACAGCATTTGTTGGAGCTACAGTAGGATACAACATTTGATGGGTTCACTGAGTTGTGAAATAGCATTAGTGACACATTGTCTGTTTATATGTCACACTGATAATGATACAGTATGTCCCTGGAGGACTTCCAGAACAAAATACATGTACTTGCAAAACAATTTGTTTCACTGACTGAAATTTTCTAAATATTTTTAATTGTATTTTAATATACCTTCAGCATGACTTTCCCATTTCTCGTCAATGGCTAACAACTGTAATACGGTATTTTGCAAAAGGAAGGCAAAATATTCTGAATCAACCTCTGAGCCATCCTCTTCGAGTATTAGTTTTAGCCCATTCTTTTGAAGTTCTAACTTCTCAGCACCTTAAGAATGATCATTAAATTATTACTAAATAAATGTATCAACAAAAAATGACCCATCATGTACAGCAAGCATGTCCTATATAGTACAATGTTTATAGATCACAGGTATAGGGGCATATATTAAACCAGGTTTCAGTCACATGGTACGTTTAGCACTTGGTGGTCAACTCCGAAAGGAAACACAGTTAATACCAGAGTGAGTTAATTGTTAATTATATGTACAGTATTCACCCTGTGTTTGTTGGCAAATGTACAGTATGCAATTTGGCAACATTTGCCCCCTTCCACACAACATATTTAATTAAAGCGGCAATACATGTAAATTTGACCACCAAGCGTTTCCTTCTGTATACGACTTGGTGAAACCCACCTATTCTATAAAGGTTTAATAAATCAAATCTAAACATAATCAATAAAATCAATAAAATTATGTAAATGGAATTTTTTATGAATTCTATATAATTTATAGATCTATAATTTGAAAATCTATAAGTCTACTTATGTATATAAAATATTAATAACTGTGTATTGACTTATTTATTGAATTCCTATCTGGCCCTGGGTTTATATAAATGTTGATGAGTGAATATTTTATAATAGCAAATGAGAAACCAACCTCTCTCAATCAACATTTCAAATGAAGATGCCACCACAGTTTTCTTTATAGTTCTTGAAGAATTCCATATTTTAAACGGCCTTAATGCCATTGTGTTCCAAGCTATATATAAATTTATATTAAACTATTAAAAAACAAAATAAAATGCAATACTGTACAATATAAAGTCCAATAATATATACCAAAAAGACAATTTACTAAAAGCGCTTATATTTATATTAAATATGGTTAATATATTTTAAAGTTTATATGAATTGCTTTTGTGTTTTTCTTGCCTATTGCCGTAGTTATTGAATATGAAATGATATCGAAATATATTTAAATATCGCCTTTCATGCTTCAATAATCAATGCGTGCATTGTTATTCAAATTTTCATGTGTGTCACTGCCTTTACTTGTTCTGATACCAACTTTATATTAAATATTACAATTTATAACAATAAAAACAACTTACCAAGGTATGCGTGCGCGAAGAAAGATAAAAAATATCGAAAATATACGTCGAAGCGTGGTCGAATGCTCGAAACGTGGTCGAAGCCCGTTTTTGATAGTCGAAGCCAGTATACTGAGAGCTAGATGAAGTATAGTACTCAAAACCATGGTGTCAAATCCCCGCCAAAAGCCCCGGTAATTCTAAACGAAGATCTAAACGAAGCAAATACCCCGCTCATAGGGGCATTGATATTCAGCCAATGCCCCGCTAATCCCCGCATAGGGGCATTGATATTCAGCCAATGCCCCGCTAATCCCCGCATAGCCCCGGGGTTGGGGGGGGGGGCCGGGGTTTACATTGACTGGTGCATAATTTTGAAAGAGAATTTATTGCTAACCATGATTTTGTACGAAATTCATTATACGAAAGGGTGAAACCGTGAATGACGTGTCAAAAACGCGTGGTACTCCATGGAATTTTTGGATTCTATATACGCGCAGAGTATTCGGTCTCAAGACTGTCCGAGTTCAACATACGAAGTCTGATGGTTTTGCTCTGAGTTGCCAGACTTGACAGTTGCGTGTCTGGCCGTGATAATCTGATCTCGCCAGTGTCGGCGTCCCAGAGATGAAGGGATTGTTTTGGCACTCGTAGTTCTGAATGAGTTGTTGCGGTGAATTTCCACAAGCTGAGTAGGGTCTTGGAGCATGCGCTCTCGGAGGACAAACCATGAACGAAAACGTTCATGAGTGATTCGCATCACATGAAAATCAATCAAAATCGTATAAAATCGTCGCGCTCGAAAGAGAATTGCGAAATTATTTACACATTTGCTTAAAACTAACAATATTAAAATGTACCTGGTATTATATGCATTATGTTACAACAATTGTCTCACGAATCTATGAATTAATACAAAAGAATAAATTTACTTTAATATTTACAAAATTTACAAATTATGCGATCGAAGACGCATTGCAGGAAAAAAGCTTTTCGTCGGAAAAAGCGGCTTATCGTATTTTACGAATCTGCCACGTCATCTACCACTACACCGTGAAATGCAACAACAATATACAACTAGGGTACCTGCAAGGTAGGGATTGCTGCGGGCATTAAAAGCAAATAGAACTACAGTAAACAGCACAGATTATATCAAGCACAGTGATTACTCGCAGCGACTAGTGAGCTGTGAATGGAACTGAGAAGAAGCAGTATATATTGAAGTAGCAAAGACCAGGGGTTAAAGGGCAATCTGAGGTGACAGATATTAAACATGTGCGTCTTTCTCATTGACATAAAGGTAAATTAAGATCAGATTTTATATCAAGTCTGTTTACTGCTAGGCGCATTTACCACATTATATAGACTATATACACAGATTTATCACACTAAGAAACCAAAACTTTATAAAAATATAGAACTGACAGTGGCCAAAATCCAATACAAATGTAAGCGTAACATTAGACATCAAAAAGCTTTAGAAATTCGGTAAAAGTCAAAGACTCGAACGAGTTTAAAATGTGTGTTCTGCGCATAGAAATCGCGCACGACCACAATTCCTTGCGCTAAATAAAATTTAGTTCAAAACCCCCTCTCTGCATATATTAGCTTGCTGCTACGCTCGCTCGCTTCAGGCTCGCTCGCTCCGCAGCAATTACACAGAAAATAAGGAATTATACAAAAATTAAGAATTGTGTAAAGATTACAATATCTTTTAGCTTTTAAAATGGTTATTTAAAGAAGGCAAGATACCAACGATTCCTTCGGATATTTTTCTCAGTCATGTTTTTATTTTGGTCATCCCAATGGAATGTTCCGTTTAACTCGCCTACGTCCAATTCAGGTTAAAGTGTGAAAACGACTCCCTCATTAGGGAAACTTTCAACCAATCTTTTTCTTCTTTGGCCCATATCATATTCAAGTCCCACCTTTGACACAGCGTTCGTGGATTTACTATTTATATTAAGTACTAAAACAATTAGATAATGACAGGTTATTGAGAAAGCACAGAGAAAACGGCTTCACAGCTGGGAAAAGCCTGGATGGCCCACGATAGTTACTGAATCTTGCTTCACCAACAAATCTGGGATCGTTTTTTCCATACGTTGATGGTATAACGCCAACAATAATATGTACAGGAGCGCTGTGGCAGCTTTTTCTATCCCATTCGAGTATTTTTCGTTCGAATTGATTCCACCGTCCAGAGTTTATCGATCCAAATTGGGGAATCGCATTCGTATATATAAATGTAAATCATTACCTGTGAGTTTATATTGTGCAGCGATACGGTGACCTCTGTGAATACTGATTGTGTGATCACATGTTTTTTGTTGATTTCCTTGCGTAGCGTGCGTTGCGAGTGGTAGTTATGCTTCTCCACCAATTGTGCTCAACGTAATAATTGGAGTTTGTTGCTTCCTGCTACGGAGCAGGGTACGCGTCTCAAAGCTTGTTCGTAGTCTTTGTCATGTTGCTGAAAATTTATTCCAATTAAATGACTTTGTTTGAAATGTTTGGAATTGCGAGTATATTTAGAAAGATATTCATCACTATTCAAAACGGCCGTTGAAGCTAAAGGTACGCGGTTTACACAATCATATAAAAAGCCAATGCTGCCCGAATCACAAATTTCAACAACCTGGCTGGTAATCGTAAACGATTCTACCTTAGGGATAAACGTCTTTAGATTCCTTCCAGTGAAAGTTCTGTATGTATTAGTCTTGGCATTCCACTAAATCACATACACCAAAAGGAGAAATATAAACTTGTTCGACGTTTCCAGGGCGTCGCTTTTGGGTAAATTTTCGGACAATGTAACTTTGAGACCTTTTTTTCAGGCACGGATCCAGCCTAAAACCGTTCCCTTCGGTAATCACAACATGAGCTTGCCCAAAAATATCTGCTGTCAGTTTCGTACGCAATAGCTCTGTAGCTGGTTGTGTCTTTTGCTGCGCTGTCTTATCGTCGTGCTGATATCTGCTGATATCTTAGGGAATGTTTCATTAAAATTCAGAAATTTCAAAATCGTTCGGCAAGAATAATTGCTCGCTCAAGTTACGAAATTGAATCTGCTGTTGTTCTTGAAACTCTTGGTTGGGAAACTTTTTAAAGTGGAAGTCAGAAGATGAAGTCCATTCTTCTGTATAAAATTCTAAACGATTATACTGCTCCTAACTTGAAAAAGTCAATGATTGGGAGTAGCTTAACGCAAGCGAATTATAACTTGAGAAATAGCTAATACTGATGTTGCTCTCCCAAAACCGAGAAGGGAATTCCTAAAAAGAGGATTTAAATACAGCGGGGCAAAGCTTTGGAATACCCTTTCTTGGGAAGCAAAAGAGGCACAATCAATCCATATTTTCAAACAAAATATGAATCTTTGATTCTGTTACTAATGTTAATGCATGGGTCACACCTCCTGTATTCAGGATGCACTCTTCTAAATAGTTTTTCTTGTTTTTGCGTATTTTGTTGTAAATACTTCGTACATAAAATGACGACGCCCCTCATGAAAACCAACGTACGTTGATGCGGCTAGCGTCTTGAAATAAATTTTTACGAGACGACGACGATACGATTAATCTAGCAAGGGACTCCCCAATCTTAAGGTCCTCGGAATCTTCTAAGGTCTTAAAGTATGTTACTATGGAATGTCGTAATACGTTTGTGGAAATACTTCTCGGTCGAATGTGTGAAATACTTCTCGGTCGAATAAATCTCCCAGGTGCTTGCATAAACTTGAACTATCCCTAAATAGTTCTCCGGTGTAGTTGAGAAAAAAGTAGGCGTGCGACTTAGCTTGCAGGAGACTGAGTCACTGGGCCTTAGCTAAATTGTATTGATGCAAATAGTAGACTATTTACTGAACAGTCTTGAAGTCGTTTTCGATCAAAACACAGTCGTCTCTTCCCTAAAGACAATAACATTTGTGTGGAGAAACGAACTTACGTCAAATGGATTCTCCCCTGACTCAACGAAGATTTGTAATGTGCGTATTTCCTTAGATCTGCCCGGATTAACCCTCGTGTATGGTGCCAGCATAACGAAATCATGAAGATGTCTGGCCTTTGCTACGCCTGTTGTTTCGAAAATCTTAGCTCTTAGATTTATAAGCGTGTCTAAAATATGGTTAAAATAGAATCCCTGCGACGCCTTTTTCATGCACAATCCTTCCTTATTCGATACATCGAGCTTTGCGATCATTCTAGCTTGCCGCGTCAACTGCCTTTGATAAGATCTACACGACATAAACGCCTTCCAACTATCTAATGCGCTCCAATCTTCGCGAAAGTTGTATTTGATGACATTAATAATGCAAGTAAGATGTACTGTAATTGTGTTCGGCATTAGTTTTCTAACTTTCGATAGATAATCAACATATTCACAAATAGCGTGTTCGTGTTAAAAATATCGAGATTCACAACTGGTACATCCTTATGATGCATGCAGAAATATAAAAAACAATATATTCTTTCCACTAATTTGTCTAGAGTTTGTTTGGCAAACGGGGCGACCATTCCGTTTTGGGTTGAACTAGTTTACCCACAGGGTAGTGAATGCTGCCTTGGTATAGCATTGTTCCCAAATCTTTAATATTTTAAAGAATAAGAGTAAGAAATATTTGTAGTGAATTGGAATCATCCGTAATTTATACATCAACACTTTCAAAAACGTACCTTTGAATTAGACCAGGGGTTAAAGGGCAATGACAATGACATGCAGGTAACATTTAACATGTGCAGTGTTCGTCTCACTAAATTGGCGTGTTTAATTTAATTAATAATGTTTATCAAAGAAGGCAAAAATATATACAAAACAACTTCACATGTAGAATAATAATAATAGCTTTATTCATCCATCTTAAGATAAAAAAGTACAATGGACTTACAATTACTTGTTTAAGAAAGTATATATGCTGTGGATATGTCTTTATATTACAAATTGTTGTAAGATAATTTAGAAAACTAACTAAGAAGTTAAAACTAATAAGTTCTTTAATCTAATAAGTTCTTCTAATAAGTTAAAACTATTTATACATTTTTACAAGCTCTTCCTGAAAAAGAATGTTTATGCCTTTCAGTTCCTGAGAAGAATGATATATTGCGATTCCGGTCAATGTTCCTTAAATTGTACCGATTGTTAATCAATTTTGGCAAAACACTGCGACAGGGATGGTTTGGATCGTTCATAAACCTATCAACTTCTCGACTAGTTGCCTCTTCCCTTCATTCGTTCAACGGTGGTAGGTAATCTTTTTCCAGGCCAAGGATTCTTAAGCTCCTGGATTGAACCCGCTCTATTTCATCTCGCAGGTAATTAGGGAGTCCCACCCAGACAGGTGATGCATACTCGAGAATTGGTCTTATTTTGGATTGATGGGTAGTCTGTTCACTTACGCACTGCCTTGTGATGCAGTACAAGTATAAATACTTCTACAAGTGACAAAGCATTTTTAAATCATAAAACATAATTAAATCATACGGCACATCAGTCAAGATTTCAATACATGACTATTAACCACAGTTTTTAGTTTTTATTTCAGCCGCGTTTCAATACTGCTTGGCGCGCATTCGCTGCGTTATATTCATGTATATACCTTTGTGATATACACAGATTTATTACTAATAAATCAACACTACTGTATATGATAATATAGAACACACAAAGTGCAGTCACCTTTTTATAAGGGCGCTTTCTATTTAATGGCCTAACTGGTCAGACCCGAATTCTCTTCTCTGTGTCAATGG